GCCCCCTTGTGCCAGTGCCCCTCGTGGCCCTCTTAGGAGGGCCACGCTCCTTACCAAACCTAACCCCTAACCCTAACCACGCACACAAAATAAAGATTTCATGGACAATGCATGATTCTCCAATCACCTAATTCCAAAGAACAATTTGACAATTTCTATCTCAATAACTTATTTATTGACCATGACAAATATTTATGGAATGTGCATCACAAAAAGGTCTAAATTACGATTAAACTTTAATATCAAAGGAAGTGACATCATATTTGTTCATCTAAAGAACTATAGCAATATGAGACCTTAAATATATCAACAACATAGATTGCATATTGCATTTGTTAATAGCTTACCTGGGATCATACACTTATAGTCTTCTGGTTGGCTCTGTTTCTTGCAAATACAATTGTAATAACACATGTGACTTATACAGCTAAACATTAATATTTGCAATTGTGGGAATATTTTTTTGGAATACTTACTTTGATAAAAGTTTTGAGATTTTCATGCTGGATGTGCACTGCTTTCTTTGTCAATACTCAGATGATAAATGCCTCATTCTTTTGTCAAGAACAAAGCAACACTTGTTACTGACTAAACTCATCACCACATATGCCAAAGAACAAATCACCACATACGCTCAACAATGATATAATAGAAACACACTCAGTGATTCAAGGGCTACAGTTATGACAAGTCTCAAAATAAGAATGTTACACTTGAGAACATTGAAATAGAACACAGCACTACAGATTCTTCAATAGCAGAGCAACATAATAAGTACAACACACTCGGTGCAAAGGTTTTTCTTTTTCTTTTTTCAAAAACAATAGCTTTTTGTTTGCCTGAACATGTAGAAATTGCAACATTCCCAATGCATTATACTTTTTTTTTTTCTTTAAAAAGCAACAAAAAAACATCTCAATTCCAGAGAAGGGTAGACCATACTATCACATCATGCTTAGTAATTTTCAGTTATACTAGGAATAGTACTACTTTTTATGACCATTAATTTTAGTTTTTGTAGATTGTAGAGTTTCAAACCATTGTGTTGTCCAGCAGACCACTGCAGCAGGTTACAAGGTGTTTTAGGTGTCGGCTACATGCTGACTGGACAGCTTGGACACAGATGTCTCAAACTTCTGCTCATTTCTCTCCACAAGCTGAAGAGACTTCTTACTCCAAACGCTGTATAAAGTTTTCTGGGAATAGTCCTTTGTGAGCACCAGCACCGAGTATTAACCACTCACTTTCTTTGATTCCTGTGAGCCAGCCGGCATCCTGCAACAACAACCACAAAATTACAATCATCCTGAATTACTGTTGACATTATGTTCATTCCTTCATTCCTGTATGTTGGTGGCTTTTAATTACCAGACCAAAATGTCTCACCACCACTTCTCACCTGATCCTCTACTGAAGCAGTGGGAACCACCAACACCACATCACCTCTTTTAAGTTCCAGCTCATCTGAATTTGCAGCCTCAAAGTCATGCATTGTCTCCACCTGCAGGAAGAAAAACATCATCACCCCTCTGCTGACAACAGGTTGAGCATGTAAACTATTTATGTTGAAAAAACATTACAGCACATCAACTGTGTATTTTAGAATTTTCTGCTTTAAACGTTAGAAGTTGGTTTCTGGAGGAAGACCCGCCTTGTAGAGGAAGTCATCAGGGAGTCCCGACACTCCAACAGATGGACTCATGTGTTTGATAGTCTGGCTTTCAGCTGTTACACCGTTGTCACTGATGAGAGTGGGAGAAATGATGTCAGCATCACGGTCGTCATCTCCTTCATTACTGGAGGCTGGCTCGATCACCACGGAGGGGATTGGCATCTTTTCCTGAAGACAAAAAAAATGTAATCTCATATTAGTAACCTTTCACTTTCTCTGAGTTATAATAATAAATAAATAAAGAAGAATAACTAAATGTTTTATACTTAATTACATCTAAATTAATTATGTATTGTATCTCCACGTTACTGATCATAATTTAAAATTCAATGAAGCACGTGTTGTAGTGTCTGATTGGGTTAGGGTTAGTCTATTAATGGTCATGTTAATGTTAATGGTCAAGGGTTAATACTTTCAGACAGTGGGTTTAAATTTATTATTGATTATTACAGACCCATTTACAATTGAAACACAATGATAATTAACTTGATTGCTTTTAATGCTTGTTTTGATTACCGGTCATAATGAAAGTTGAGTGATAGTTACCGATGGCGCTGCTTCACCTGGAGATGTTTTAGCTTCGTCAGCAGGAGGAATCTGTTTGCAAACAGAATTTTTTTCATTAAACAGGAACAGTCACATACGGAGTTAACACACATTCTGCTGCATATTAGTTTAAATGTATTCAAATATATTGATATTACTCAGAACACATCAGTTTGTATTTTGGACAAACATGCAATATAAAATTATTTCCCACAATTTCCATGTTAGACAGGGTTAGAATGATGATGATGATGATGATGGTAGGGATGATGGCTAGTGAGTATTTACTGTTTGTGATAAACACTTCCACTCACATAAGGCTTGTCTTCCTTCAGGCTGCCAGAACCTTCTGCTGTATCTTCCTCACCAGCAGAGGAGGCTCTAAATTCCTCCAACTCTCCTCCAGCTCCCCCTGCTGGAGGTTGCTCACCAGCAGTTGGCGCTGGAAGCTCCTCACCAGCAGTTGGCGCTGGAAGCTCCTCACCAGCAGGTGGTGCTGGAGGCTCCTCACCAGCAGGTGGCGCTGGAAGCTCCTGACCAGCAGGTGGCGCTGGAAGCTCCTGACCAGCAGGTGGCGCTGGAGGTTCCTCACCAGCAGGTGGCGCTGGAAGCTTCTCACCAGCAGGTGGCGCTGGAAGCTCCTCACCAGCAGGTGGCGTTGGAAGATCCTCACCAGCAGGTGGCGCTGGAAGCTTCTCACTAGCAGGGGGAGATGAAGGCTTGTCTTGTTCCTCAGCAGCTTTTGCCACTGAGGCTTCTGGAGCGTCGGTTGAGTCTGCGGTAACTTCATTCTTTTGTAAAGAAAGATAATGGTCAACCCTAAAATTGTTTCTGAAATCACTTTGCATGGAACTTAATGTAAGGCTCAGAATTCTACATGTCTAAATGGACCATTCATGAATACTCATCCAGCTTTCATCTCTGCTTGTGTTGTTCATCTCAACATGCATAAAAGTTGAAAGTACTGCCCATACCGTAGACAACACCTTTAATTTGCAAACCCGCAAAAACCTAGCTTTTCTTCCATCGACCTTCACCAACTGACTTTAACAATTTCTACGTCTACACCTTCTACCCGTCTCTTAGACCCCATCCCGACTAGGCTGTTTAAAGAAGTTTTACCTGTAGTTAGCACCTGGTTACTAGATATTATCAATCTGTCTTTACTGCCATTACATTCTGTTACAGAGACTAGATCATTTGATTGGCATTAAAGGAAACGCACTAAGCTGGTTTAAGTCCTATTTATCAGATCAATCTCAGTTTGTAAACGAAACCTCGATGAACACCAACGTTAGTCATGGAGTTCCACAATGTTCTGTGCTTAGACCAATTTTATTCACCTTATATAGGCTTCCTTTTGGCAATATTATCAGAAAACACTTCATAAACTTCCATTGTTATGCAGATGATACTCAATTATATCCATCGATCAAGCCAGATGAAACCAACCACTTCACTGATACCATTATTACAAAAAATAGAAATGCCAGCAGAATGGTGGATAGGTGATATGAGAACTAGTTTACTATTTATAAATGATGCAAAAACAGAATGTAAATCTTTTCTTAATAATTCTTTCATATATTCTAGCTTTGGCTGTAACAGTTTGTCTATTTGTTCAGAACCGTCTAGGTACGGGGTCTAATGGTATATTAGATTGATGCACGTAATACAGAACCAAAGTCCACAAGTACAAGTTCTGTCCGAAATCTTTTAGCTGTAGGCCGTTAGCCACATATAATTGTTTTGCTAACACAACAAGCTAACACATAGATGTGCCTATCGCTGCAAGGAGGAAAAAGTAAACCTCGTCCTTATCACCACATTAGATGCAAAAACCGAACGGGATACACCAATTACAGAAGCAATCTGCATTTACATTGGCTTGGCGTTATGGACATATTCCATAGTACTGCTCAGATATAACAGAACTAATGACTCCAAATATTTACTCCGTGTGCTTTAGCCACGTTACATTTATGTCACACTATCGCACTGCAATACATAAATGTTTGGGTGCTTTGAATATCTATTCAAGGTTAAGCTAATTGAAATACTGCTCCTAATGGGTTCATTTCATTTTTTTATTATTCTACTTATTTCATATTTTTAGTTTAATAGCATAAAAGATTATCCTTTTATAGCGTATTTTGACCTATTGCCTTTTGGAAACAGAGTAATACAGAAGTGTTTGTTTTTATAATAAAAATACTTTACCAAAGTTGCCCCAGCAGGAGGATTGTGTCTGTCTTTGACACTTTCACTTCCGTCTGTTCTATATAAATGAAAACTAATTGATCCGTATGCATTGGGTTTTCATTTCTGCAGTACCGATTCGATTATATTTTTGAGATTACAAAGCACTATGGATCAAACAGTAAGAGATACACTTGGCACAAATGTGGGCAAAAAGTACAATGTCTATTGCAAAAAACAGATTAAAGGATAGAACTGCTGAACAGAAGAGTACATAAAATAAAAGAATAGACCATTCCAAGTCGCAAGATGTACTTAAATTTAAAACTCACCATCTTATCAAAATCAGCAAAGAATGATGGGGCAGTGGCATCCTTCAGGGAGCATGTGTCAAAAGCAGAGAAGAAGAAGAGTCACAACCGACAATCACAATCTGGAAATACATGATTGTTTTTCATTCAGAGAAGAGAAGAAGAGTCTTTAGAGAATATGAAGATACAGGACGTACAGGGAATAAGGCTTCTGAGGGTCTCATGATGTAAGCATGCAGTTAGGGTCAATGTCTACTTTAAAGTAACTAACATCAGCAGCAACCTCTGACCTCTGCTCTGACCTCTTTGTTCCACTCAAAGACGAAACAGATAAGTTCAGTAGTTAGACCTGGCCACTGACAGTTAACAAACATCTAAAAGATTGAAACTTACAGCTGGAGGGCTGAATGGTAAAAGCAAAAATTACAATTAACTAATATCAGAAGTCCCTGTTGACTGAAATAGCTCTGAACAATCTGCAACTAAAATATGTGTAAACTGTAATCAGAACAGTTGAATTAATCTCTGCAAACTACTAATTTCAATGTTTCGATGGAGAATGGGTGCAAATTCAAGTTTAGTTTGAAAAATTACCTGTGAAAATCCATTTAATGCATTGGTCACCTAAATTGAATTGCAAAGACACAAATTAGTGTTTAAAGCTTCAAGGTAAAATAAGTCTAAGATGAGCTGTAACGATAGACTCGATGTGTGAATGAAAGAATCAAATGAACAAGCAGACAAAGCAGGCAAGAGGAGAAGTGGGAGGAGCTCAGGCTGGGATCCAGGTTTCAGGACAACTACTTTCACTTCGGTTCTCAAACTGTGGGAAGGTAGAAGACAGAAAATGGGTTTTCATTTTTTTCTATTCTACCCTATACTAATCTACCACAATAAAGACGGGAGGAAGTCAAGTACCTCTTCCTTTTCTGTGTCTATCTCTTGGTACAACTTCCCAAATCTCCGGTTTGCAGACTCATCTTCGGACATGTCTGAATTTTCTGGTTCTTTGTGAATTCTGGTAAGGATTACATCTTTAATTCCCTCTGCTGTTCCAGAGAAAGCAGCAAAAGCAAAGTTTTGTTGAGTGACAGAAGAGCCGAAGCCACTGTTGTGACTAACTTCCTGCCAGGACATGGCGTTGGAGGCAGGACCCTCGGTCCCTGAAGAGGCTGCTGGGAAAGTGCTGGCAAAAGGGTCTGTATCCCACCCACCTCTTCCATCCAAAGTGGGCACAAGTCCACCTTCTCCTGAGGTCACAGCAAATGGATCAAATTCAAAATCCCCCCCCTTGTCTCCAAACTGTGTCTGAGCAAAAGGATCTAAATCAAACGCACCTCCTCCCTGTGTTTCAGCAAAAGGAACTGCATCAAACACACCTCCCTGTGTTTCAGGTGAGGGAACTGAATCAAACGCACCTCCTCCCTGTGTTTCAGCAAACGGATCTGCAT